TCCCGAGGAGCAGAGACAGCTGCTGGCTGTGAGCTGACATGTTTCCTTGCCAGCAGAAGTGCAAGGGCAGCTTTTCCTCCATGCTGCTTGAGTTCGGTAATTTGCTTTTAACATGACTCCTTGGCTTGCTGCTGAAAGAAGAGGAAAACCCTCTTTAGGTTTTCATCCTAAGCCTGGAACAGTAACAGTGAGAAGATGAAAATGCCTAGTAACATTGCTGGATGAAAAAGACCCAATAAAGCCTTTTAATATCCTGGGTACTCCACTTCTTGAGGGGAAAAAAAGATTCACCTTGATATGTGGGTTGAAGTTTTTTCTTCACAGACGCTCTCCCCATCTATGCCTTTATTTTATTTGACTTTGTAATGGGCGCTGCTGTCTTGCGTGATGTCTGAGCAAGGAAAAGGGATGGAAATAATTCCTGCCAAGCATCTGTTCCTGTGAAAGCTGGTGGTGCTGTGTTGGTGGTGCTCTGGCAGCTCTCACCAGCACCCTGTCAATCAAACACCATCGGCATGGGTACCGGCAGCAGTAGCATCCCATGGAGCAGTGCCTCTGGAGCCTGCTGATGGGCTGCCCAAAGGGTCACTGCCTGCTGCCGTGGGCTCCCTCGCTGTTGTTACCGTGCCCTGTGTACATAGAGCCGTAAAATCTTGGTAGGGAGTTTTATTAAACGTTTGTTCTTTTTTTGTTGTTGTCTGGCATTGATTTCCTTCTCTCTGTAACTAGGGCAGTGAAGCATCTCTTCTTGAATTCATCATAAGCTTGTTAATGTTTGAAGAGTCTGAGATTTTGGTTAAAAGAAGTGTAAAATGATGCTTAGAAAAATAGTATTGGTTTGGATAAATGTTTTCAGTATATTTTTTTTTTCAGTTTGAGCAATATTTTTCCAAGAACGAATGTTTCCAGCATATTAGCTTGGTAGAAACTTCAGCTTTATCAAGGCTTTAAATAATTTAGGAGTTAATCATCTTAAGAATTTGCCTGTGGTATGGATAAAAGACTGCATTTTTTGAACTTGTTAACTTGCTGAAGCTCTGAAGTAACTTTTATTTCATCTGTTGCTGGTTTTATAAAATTATTTTATTAATTAATGCTGGGTTTATTAATTAAATCTGTTACAATTTTTGTTAATTGTGTGAGAAGGATTGGTCGATTATAGAAGCTGTGATATCATATATGTCTAGATATCTATAGCTGTAGATGTCTCAGTTTTATTTTAACTGTTTAGGATCTTCAGCGTGTAAATGATAGGCAACTGTAGAGAAGGCTGAACTTGTGAACTTCAGGCAGTTTCGGGAGAATGTACCAACTCAACAACTTATGGGTTTTTTTAGGTATGAATCTGTTTTGTAGAAGCCTGTTAACAAGAGTGGGAGTGGAATTTGGGAAACTGTTTTAAGTCGTACATTTTTTTTATTTTTCTGGAAAATTTTGTAGCTGCAAGTTAGTTATCAGCAGGCTTAGGCATTTTGAGGTTTTTATGGAAAATGAGCCTGTTCTGGAGCGTGGTGCCTGGTTCTGTACTGCTCTCTGACATCTCCCACTTGAGTCAGCCCAGCTTCTGACTTACCTGCTTATAAAATAAGAAGCATTTGGGTATATTATTTAAACACATGAGTCTTCTACAAGAGGTTTTCTGGATCCTAAAGGGAGAATCAATGGTAAAACATCTATTGCTGAACCTCTCCTGTCTTAAGTAGAAGAGTGGAGTCTGTGAAAGGGGTGTGCTAAGGAGCTGTCATTTCCACATCTCTTGCTCTCTCTTCTGCTGGCGACTTGTACGAATCCTGGAGGATTTTGGGCTGCAAGATAGAAGTTTGGTGGTTTGGGTTATCTTTTTGAGGCTGTTTCCTTCTTACCCATACCCGTCCTTAAGATCTTTGCTGCTCTGAAACTGTTATGACTTTTCTAGCTGGCATTTTAAAATGTGCTGTTGACCTACCCAGATCCTGTACCTTTCAAAATTGAGAGTATGTGTAATAGTTTAGGGTCTCTTATGATTTCCAGGCTTTATAGCTGCATGACACCTGAGAGGCAGGCTGTGCTGCGATGCAATCAAGTGTACTGGGCAAGTTTATATGCTGCCACCCTGAATTTACAACCTCCAGCCATCACTTCTTTGCTGTTGTTAGTGTGTTCTTGATTGAAAAAAAAAAAAAAAAAAAGTTTTTGCCTTGCATTTGCTTTTGTAAACTTTAAACTATCATCCAGGCACCTGTTGTGGTGGCAACAACACTTTAAAATCTCATTTGCAGTAGCTGGTATCATTTGTAGTATAGATACATCCTGGGCTGTCATATAGATCGCTGGGTTGCGTTTGCTCAGGCTCATGCTGCAGTTTCTTGATGACAGTGCCTGTGCTCTCCCTGGGCCAGGGCTTGAGGGGAGTGCCTTATAAAGCCTGACCCTCACTCCAGCAGATTAGAGCGCAGTGTGTTTAAAGCTAAATATAGAAGAAGGCAGATCTTGTGTTCCTAGTAATTAACTGTTCAAGAGTCTGTTCTGTTGTACTGAACCTCTAGTCATTAAATCTGCCACAAGTGGTGAGTCTTTTTTAAATCTTGTTCCCCGCTGTCTTAAAGGGTGTATTTTATATTCACAGGGAACAGTTTTAAAATCTGCCAGTCAAGCTTCAGGTGGATGCAACTCTTCTCGCAGTTTAAAAGCACACAGCATAAAAGGAAAGGAGAAGCCTAGTGCTAGAAATTGAGCATGTGCATTTACATCTTTTACAGCAACTGGTAAACCATACTGGTATGGCCGGGTTGAAGGTCAGGTATCACTCATTTCACTGTCCCCAAGGCTTCTGTGTGTTCATTTGAAGTGGGCAGTGTCAATCCTTGCCCCCTGACATGTTTGTGCTCCAAAAGAACTGTGATTAGAGGATTAATTCTTACCTGCTGTGTGACTTGCTTGATACTTTCTTTCCAAACCTCATGGGGTCCTCCTGCAATCTGTTGAAATGAACATTTTTAGACCCAGAACAAGGCATAAGGTGTTGGGGCCAAGGATAAAAACAATCAAAAATATCTGGGCGAATATTATATTTCATAGATCAATCTTTTACAAATAACCGAAGGGCCAAAAGACAAAGCAAATAATTATGTCAAATCTAGCCGGTCACTGGCTAGAGGGTGGGCTGTTGCTTTATTCCTGTTGACTGGTAGATTATCTGCCTAATTAACTTGTAAAGCAAATTCCTGTTCCTCTGCCACTGAGACAGCTAAGTGGGTAAGGAGACTTTTGAGCTCTGTTGTGAAGGGCTTGGATCCTACAGTATTTTAAAAGATCCTGTGATATCATGGTTTGCCATTTTTAACTCTCTGCAGATGGGCAAATGACTTTCCCAGAAGGCTATTTAGTGTTGCATTTGTGTTGGAATGCTCCTTGGTCTGTTAAAACCAGAGCTTTAAATCTCAGTGATGAATGGGAACCTCTCAGTTTAACTGTTTGTTGCATCTTTGTATTTTTTATGACTTGCAGGGAGGAAAACCAGTCTTGACTCTGAACTTTACTGGCTATTACCAGTGCACGCAGGCAGTTTTTGAATGTGGATAAATGGTAGACCTAGGCTAGAAAGCAGTGGTTTGCCGAGGTAAACATTTGAAATGCTGCAGAAGTGGCCAGCTAGTGATGCTGCAACTAGAAGAGGCAGTCTGGGGAGTGGGAATGTATTGTATACCTGGAGCGTTGTTAAATGAACTTTTGGGGGTAGAAGGAGCATTACTTGAATACTAACCTGTGATTAATGGCATCTTTCTAGCCATGGAGCTTGAGTTTCTCTTCGCTCATGGTAGGAAGAAGTGTTGGCAAATGTATGTATTTTTAAACTAGACCTGCAGTCTGCAATGAAGAAATACAAAGAATACACATTTTTGTAAAACTGAACTTATTAGAGTAACATGCCCAAAGGACAAAGCTTCTTGCATGGGAAGGCTTAATTCAAATCATATGTGGCAGTGACCTAACGACCTGCAGGGTGTGAAATAGGTGGCCTGTAAGTCCCAGCGCTGGCACTTGCTGTTGGCAGGACAGGGGGGTGACCCATGACGATTGCCACGTGCTGCAAAGCTTCCCTGTATTCGCTGCTGTTTGCGTTCAGCTGTCAGTTTAGCTGTTCATTGTGCAAGTTGTCTCGTGTGATTGAACTAATTAGATCCAAAGCTGAAAAATAGTTTTGTTTACTTGAGATAAAATGGCACAACTATATGATCACTTCCCAAATTTTTTGATGTTGCATGTTGAGATTTGCTGTTAAGCAAATAATATATATTACTTATATAGTAATATAAGCCCAATATTTTTTTTACTGTTGCGGTTAGTATGTGATGTGCCATGTAGGTCCTTAACTATGTACATAAAAAATTGGGGGGGGGGAGTTGGTTATCTTTTATTATTTTTACAACACATACAGGTTTTTAGGAACTAAAAGTTCCTAAGATATAGTGATGCTCGGAAGAAACATTTGAGAGGGATTTGATTGTTAAAACATTGCCTTTGTGGTTAGACTGCAGTCATTTCGTCAGAAGGACGGTGTGTAGCCCTGGGAATCTGATTCCCCAGTGAACATGCCAGAGGGGCAAGACCTGTGTGGCACGGGGCACTGCCGGGGTCATTCCCAGTCCTGTGTCCTAGTGGCTTCTGTGCCCCCGAGCATCTCCATCAGCTGTGCGGGCACCACTGCTGTGCTCCTGCCCGGCAGTAAGGGCAGAGGCTCCATCACCTTCCTGCTCAGGTTTGAACCTTCACGGTTCTTTATAGGGATGCTAAGAGCCAGCTTTTGAGAGAAGCACATCTCATCAAAGTTATTCTTGGATCATAGTGCTCTTCGTCTTTAAGATAATGTGGAATTATTCTTGGGAGTATACGTCAAGACTGAACTTCCCCTTTCGCATGTTGGGGTTTTACTAAACGGAATGTTTATTTTTGCCTTTAGGTTAAGCCATTTTCAGTAAATGCCATAGTAAAAACGTATTTTTTTCTTTTTTCTCCAGAAATTTTATGAATAAGAATCAGAAGCCGGTGCTAACAGGCCAGCGGTTCAAAACTAGGAAGAGGGGTAGGTAACGTTACATTTTTAACTTTATTTTCCCCTTTGTTAAAATGACTAGAAACAGGGCCGGTAGAGTAACTGAAAATTAAGATTTATCTCCCCTTCTCTTCAGCACGTTAAGAGTGTAGATGTTATTTTTAACTAAGCTCTACAAATGTTATTTTCTCTATATATCTTAGGACTTTCTGTAAATTTGGGGTTTATTAGCTATTAAGTCTTGTAGAAGCCTCAGTAAAAAAAAAATCAGATTCTAAAGTTTATAGTATATTTACATATGAGGAAAAAAACTTACTAGGTCTTTGTTTTGGGTGTTTCTCAAAATGTCCCTTTCAATTAAGAAAGCAAAATATGATCTTTTATTTAAAGGTTGCATATAGAAAATGTGGGTTTTCTTGGTTTTGATTTTTATTTTTACTTCTTTCGCTCAAATCAATGCCATCTCTATAAATGAACCTTTCACATGTAAAAAGGAATTATCTCATTTTCCTTCTGCATGAGATGGTCAGATCATTGCATTGGCCCTATTTTCTGTAACAAGAGAAGTCAGCTCCTTTTTCACAAATATTTATTTCTACTGTGTTAGTTTTGTCTTGTTTTTTTTTTCTTGTTAAAATAAAACAGTTACCATTGCCTAAGACACATTTTACTCCTTGTGATACTGATTTTCTGTAAACATGGTTAACACTCTATTTCCTTATGTACAATATTGCATCAATTTTTAAAGAAAGCTAAGTGGTACTAATTATATTGATCATGCAGGTGTTCTGTACAGCGAGTGTCATCCTAACATGCTCACTCATACTGTACTCAGAGTTCACTTGTCATGGTTTAGGTGTCTGAGATGAATGCACAACACTGAGGCAGAGAGCAAAAACATATGTAATAAATGATATTTTTTTTTTCTGAAAAAAAAAAACCAAACTGTTTTGTAGAAAAAAGGGCTTAGATTTTTTTTGCTGTTGCAATGGCAGATTATTATAGCACACACAGGTGGGGTTCCTGTCTGTCATGTAACAGACTTTTTCCATCTTGACTTTCCTGTTTCTGACAAGAGCTAATGCTTGGTCTTAACATCTTGTGACAGAAAATATAAATAAGAGCATTTTCTCAGCGTGGATGAGAGAAACAAAAAGAGTTAGTAACCTTTCTCAGAAAATTACAAATTCTGTCACGAGTCTGAAGAGCTGAATGAGTGTCTTAAGGTCTAGGATGATCACGAAGCTTGGATAAAAATTGCAAAATAGTTTGTCTTCAGTTGTGTTAAAAGCAATGCCAGCTTTCCTATCGTCTTTCCTCCCTTGCACACATCACTTCCTCAGTTAGATTGGTGCGGTCTCTTAAATGGAAAATGTCCTTTCTGTGATGTACATACAACATTTGTAGGTATAACTAATTAAAAAAAAAAAAAATCTGTATTGTTTGCATGTAAATGTCACGATGCTCCAGTAATTAGTGGGATTAACTTTCTATCAGCATGTTCCAGAACATCGTACAGTAGCTGTACACTGCATTAACTAGCAACAGCATAGATGTAGCTTATAGGAGTGGAATTTACAGTCCCTAAAGAAATACCTGTCAGATTAACCAGTAAAAGCAATCAGATATGCATACTGCTGGATTGAACCAATGTATTATTAAGTCTAGGTCAGTCAATTATGGTATGTATGTTACTTGCTAAAATTGTCTTAGAAACTGTTTTCTCTCTTTTGAAGACTTTCTTTTCAGTCCCTGTCTTGCAATGTGTTTGGTATTAATGGGTCCTAATACGGGTTTGGTCTTTGACTCCTATTTAATACAAGTAAAAATTAGAATAAGTAAAGAGTTTTTATTTGTAATTCTGTGCCTATCTCTTGAATTTCTGTTACAGTGATTGGAAGTGACAATAAATACTCATTGACTATATGGAAGAAGGAAAAGACTTGGGGGAGTCTGGAAAATTGGGGGGTGTTTTGGAGGTTTTTTTTTTTTTTGAGGGAGTACTTAAATGAGACTGGGGATATTAGATGGCTTTAATATAGAAATCTTAACATGCAAACACTTCTTTTTGTGTTTAAAGCATAAAATCCCTTCTTCAAATATAGTGGAATCCTTGTTGCCTTAATATTTGAGGATCCTGCGTAGAAAATTGTAGATACCTGTTTTCTTTCTGGAGACAGAGGGCTTGAGGAAGAGAAATGGCTTCCTAGCATGTTTATTTCCTTCTGGTGTATATACTTTTTCTTTTTGTATCGTAGCAGTGTCACAGACTGTCACTAGAAGAAACTATTAGTTTTTTTCTCCCTAATTTCAATATATCAGGGAGTCATGACATTTCACCCAGGTAGGAGAGAGTGCAGTGTCTGTGGCTGAACATGGCATTTCAGTCCTTGGAGACTATTCTGTTGTATGTAATAGGCAGGCACATAGCGGGGGCTGAAATGTGCAGATGCTGGGGGGACTGAGCCAGTTGAGAGATGACTGCCGGTTCTTACCAATTGATTTGCATCTCACGATACTCTCCTCTTCTGCAGCTCCCAGAAGCACTGTAATTGTCCATATGAACTCTATCACCGCTACTAATCTCTGAATGCGAACAATTTTTGAGCTTTCACCAAGCAAAAGAGGAGGACAATGATTTATTTTTTCTTTAAAGTTTTAAAGTGTGCTTAGTGTCTAAAACATTTTTGAGAGGACTATGAAGGAGGAGCTTGTAAATTCCACTCCTTCCAGTTCTATTAGTTGACCTGATAAAAGGTATAAAGCTTGTCTCCAGCATGTATAGTAGCAGACATTAAAATCACTTTAAAAAGATTTGAAGGAAG